GAGAGAGAGAGAGAGAGAGAGAGAGAGAGAGAGAGAGAAAAACAGACAGACAGACAGACAGACAGAGAGACAGACAGAGAGACAGACAGAGAGACAGACAGAGAGACAGACAGAGAGACATAGAGGGGGATTCTCTGTTTTCTCTGAGATACGGCAAAAACAAATACGATTATAAAAACATAAAAACAAACAAACAAAAACAAATGACGCAACAACGTTTTTGTTGTCTCTGTTCACAATCTCTCACCTGGGATGAGGCCTGGAAAATCCAGGTCGGCAATATCGAGTCTCTCCATGTGTGAAGGTCATCGTCGAGGTCACCAGCAGTAGTGTGAATGCCAGTCCACTGTCGAGGTTTCCTGTCATCTTTATCGAACACACAACCTGAAATGCCACAGTAATAAATCATTATGTCAACTCGATCAGCATGCACTGTACAAAACGCCGTGCTTGGCAATCGGGTTAATGTTGAGGCTGTCTACAACCAGAGAAAGGCAATTCTCCCTTGAAGGCTCCTCAAACGCACGTTTAAAATGCCAAAAGAAACTGACAGGTCACTGCCTAGACTGATGTTGCAAATCCACGGACAGTCTAATGGTCTTTTTCCCCAATAAATGATTTCTTGGGATTTGCAGATAACACGCGTGCCTATTGCGTGAACGTTCACGGTAAAATAAATTATCGCATTGTATTTCTATGTGAAAGTAGACGTGTGCACACAAAACGAAAACCTATCTTCTAATATCCCTGTTTTAGCATTTATTGAGTAATAGTCTTAAGAATAAGATTTTTAACATCACGCTAACCATGATATAAAAAGGGCTGGATGATAGCATTCGGATGGTCATATTTAGAGTGACCTAGGATGGTCGTGATACTTTATCTGAGTATTGTTGGGCCATCTTAGAATGGGAGAGATCCTGATCAGCTTTTGTATTACACGTATTATTATCAAGCTCACCCCCTTCCCAAACCAAAACAAACAGCAACCACACACCCCAAAGCGCTAAAACGGCAAACAACACCCCCCACCTCCCCAAGACAAACAAGTACCCCCCCCTCCTCCCACACCCACGGAAAATTACGTATCGAAAAGTTCAACGAAGAACAGGATCAATATCTTTAAAAAAATACTTTAATCACACTTTTGATCATTGCTCACAAAATATTTATAACATTTTATCTGCCGAAACAGCTGCAAAATAATACATATTTCTCACTTGTCAACCCAGACAGCCACGGCAGCGTGAGTGACGTGGTATAGCACTATCCCGTGAGGTGGTGTCATCTGTTAAAACAAACTGGACACCCCACTCAGACCTATTTGGCACATCAAAAGTCTCCACTCTCAGCAGATATATGCGACGGCATGTGCGTATGAAATACGCTACAATTCATCAAAAAGTTACTTATAATATTGAAACATCAGGTACTTTTTGTATCAACACCAGTTTTTTCTACCATTAAACATCAGTGGGTTTTTTAACCAGCGTATTTTACTATAGTCCCCTCGCGGCACCTTCTGTTCTCAAACGCCCTTTTTCATTTTGTGTAATTAGATTTAATTCTGAACGACTGACTGACAGTAAATGCTCTACACCTCAGTAAATACAATTTAGATCAACTAGGGGGCAGGCTGCTACGACCCGGCTCGTTAAAGCCAATCTGAGCTGAGTGTGTACATAACCGCAGCTGCTGACCAATGGAGATACTCGATAAAATAACTTCCCCATCCGGGAAGTAAAATCATAAAATAATGAAAAGCCTTATATATCCCGCGCACGAAGCAAAAAGTATCCTGAAATCTCCTTTTGATATGTTTGATACACAGGCCGAAGGGTTAGAACCCAGATGGCCACTGGATTGAAAAAGTAAAGTAAAAAGAGGTATAATATTTGATATACATTCACGGGAGGTCAGGGTTTTCTTCATGCAGGGACAGAAGCTACAATTTGGACATAATTTGACAAAATCCCCCGCATTCAAACATTATATTTTTTTTCGGTCATCATTTGAAAGGTTTGCTGTGCATATAATCACAAGGCCCTATATTAAACACTGCCTTTTGGTTGCATACACAGGGTCACCACAATGAATGATTTGATGTAATCTTGCCTACAAATTGCTTCTTTTGTACCAACGACACAACATTGCTTCCACGTGTCCGTGTAATCACGTTGTGACCCCCC